GGGGGGGGCGAATTGCATTGCGTCCTAGAAGTCTGCGCTCTCTTGTATATTGGCCTAATTGCTGTGATGATGTATTATATATACCGCAAGGCCTCGGGTCGGCGCAGACGGACAAGGTCGAAGCAACCTTCTCCATATTTTATTATCTCACTTTTGTCAGTGGAGGCGTTAATGTATACAAGGTGCCTAGATACGAAGCAACCTTCCCTATAAATTGTGTCATGACGCGGTGGAATCAGGCGCTCGTCAATTTTAGGCATGTGAAGTTATTGGTATCATCTTAAAGCTTGTTCGTTTGTCTTGCCCTTGGCGAAAAAAAAGCCCATTTATCTTGAATAGAAGTCAAAATATTTGCGATTGAAGGAGGTGGGGGTAACCTGGTGTGAGAGGTAAAATTAGCTAGAAAATGGCTGCCAAAGTTTAGTGACTTCCAAAGCTTGAGTGTCCTCAGAAACAGGATTTATAGATCTGGTGCATGTGTTCTTCGTTTTTCTGTAACGTCCTCGCAAAAAAAAAAATGTTTTTAAAAGACCATGAAAGGTGGTGAGCCAAAGAAAGAATGTTCGAAAAAATATTGTCCGACGTCCGATAAAATGCCAGTTTCTTTGCTTTCCCTGTTTTGACGAGCGCCTGATTTCACCACGCTGCCTCACAATTATCTCATATCTGTCAGTGGAGGCATTCGTGTATACAAGGTCCCTAGATATGTCAACGTGTTCGAAAAAAATCTTGTAGCGCTACACTCCCAAAGCCCCGATTCGACTCAAAATTATGGAATTTGAGTTGTAGGCATTTTTAGCTTTCTCAGCCTCTCCTACAAATATTTCGTTCCATAAGAACCCCCCAAAACCGTATTTTTTCCCCATACCGGGCATGTTTATCACCACCATTTCCTCATTAAGTCAATAGTTTATTATTCTTTTCCCACTGTTTTCTCAAAACGCGACTTTTCTCTATACGTTTTTGAATAACTCCACACTTTTTCATCCAATCTTCATTACATTTTCACAGAATGAAGAAAAGATGTAATACTAAAAATTTATGTGTTGAATTTTTGATATTTGGAATAGTTTTTGGTTGGTAGTGTCTTGAGTGTAAATTTTCACGGATTTCTTGCAAACCTGAATGGTACCTCAGAAAAAAAATTCATTAAAATTGTTTTAATTCGTTTAGGAAAAAAAACAACTTACAAATTTTAGATCTAATGTTTATTAACACGCATGCAAAAATAAACAATCAATTTCCATGAGCAGTAAGTGCGGTATTCATTACGTAAGACATGTCTACAAAATCCAATATGGCGGCTGTATCCATGGAAACGAAACTTTTTTCTTAAATTTGATTGCGGTTTTTAAGACTTCTTACTATTCTTTTTGTTTTGTATGTGTGAAATTTGGTAAAGTTCGGTCTAGCAATAAGCGAGATAGCCTTCAGATGTAGCCTCCCCCCCCCCCCCTTTAAGTTCCTACCAAACTGAAAATATTTAATGTGCCCCTCGCGCTCAGATGACATCATGCAGTTGCGAACGCCGTAAAGCACTTACCTCACACACGCCTTGTCACACCTTGTCCACAGTGTTGGGGTCGCTACAGTTGGAACATATTCATCTCTGCTCCCCCCCCCCCTTTTCAAGACCCATCCCAGAGTCTGTCTATTATAATCTGGTTGGGGATCCGTCGGACTGGTCCGCACAGGAGGATGTGTTTCCCTTCTCCTCTTTGGATCCCCTTTTCCTTCAATCTACCAAGGGTGTGGGAACCGCTATCTGCCCTATTCTTCCTCAAATTTTTCCTTACAACCTGTAGAACGGTTGGTGGATCCAGTGTCAAATTCCTTCCCACTTTTGCTTCTCCAGCCAGCTTGTCTGCTCTCTCGTTGTCGGTTACCCCTGCAGAAGATCCAGGCCACTCTTTCCAGGCTGCTCTCCCTGATTGTGGCCTTCCAGTTCGCATACAGCATCACCAATACAAACAAATGAGTTCGGATTGACGGGATAATGTCTTCTTTTATACAATTTTATATCGCCCTTGCCCATCGACAATGTCTTGTTTTACACAATTTTGTATCGTCCATTGCCTGTCGGATATGTCTTTTACAGAAATTTGTATCGCCCATTGCCTATCGACAATGTCTTCTTTTACAGAAGGTAGTATCGCTCATTGCCTTATATCGACCATCATCACAATTCACAAGGTGTTTCCATTCCCTGTTGCAGGCCAATCCGACTCAAAGACGCCCAAGTCAGTGGACACAGGTCAGAACAGCATCAAGCTTCTGGGGCCAGATGCCGGGAAGGGGGACAAGGACGGTGGTTTTGAGGAAGCCACCCCGAGAGTCTACAAGAGGAGATGGTTGATGCTCGGTCTCTTCTGCCTCTATTCCTTCAGGTTGGTGGCTTGGTTTTCCGTTCTTTTGTATATATAT